TAATATAAAATCATAATGAAAAGGCAATCTTGAACATGTGGGTTTTGAGTTTGGATTTGAATACGGGTAAAGACTCGGTATTGCAGATGTCAGAGGGGAGAGAATTCCAGAGTGTGGGCGCAGAACGTGAAAAAGCTCTGCTCCCCATGGTTTTAAGACGGGCTGAAGGAACAACTAAGTGAGTGGTAGAAGAAGATCTAAGAATGCGGGAGGGAGTAGAAATTTGAAGTAAATCAGAAAGGTATGGAGGGGAGAGATTGTGAATAACTTTAAAAGTAAGTAGGAGGATTTTGAACTGAATTCTATTCTATTCTGAATGACTACAATCTTTTTTAAATTAAACCTTTATATTGATTAACGAGGAAAAAAACGTAACAAAACAATAAAAAAATATTGCAATCGTATGTCAGTGTTATTAGTAAAAGTCTGGTCACATTCAGAATACTTCTAAAAGTATTTTTTTGTAAATATATACTTATTCAGAATATATGTCCAAATAAAATCTACATCCAATGTATAGTGGTGTTTCTTCTTTCTTTTTTTGGAACCACAAAAAAACAAACAGAAACAACAACCCTGTACACTGTAGTAGTATTATATTAAGCATTAACCATATTTTTTAAAGGTTAGAATTAGGAGAAAATGACACAACAAAAATATTGGAATAATTGAAACACAGTAAAGATCAATATTGGTCCGTCTCTCAGGTCTAATCTGGTTAGAATGTCCTAGAAGGGAGTCCATATCCAGTCAAATTTAGCCAACGTCCCACATACAGAATGGAGAATTTTTTCAGGAGTACACTAGGACAACAGTTCGTTGATCCAACTATTTTTGTTTGAAGGTGTCATAGATTTCCATTTTTTCCCCCGCTGCAGATGATGCTAACAAAACAAAGTATTTCTTTCAAGGATTTAATTTCAAGGAAATAACATCTCCAAGTATCCATATCCTGGGGTCAGGATCCAAAGAAAGCCCACAAACTGCTGAGGTCATCTGAATTACATTGTTCCAGTAGGTTTGCAAGTGAACATAATTCCGAAACATATGAAGAAGATCCCCTACAGACGTCCTTCACCTCTGGCATTTGTCAGTGATACTGGCATTCAGCTTATTCAACCTATATGGGGTATAAAATATGCGGTGAAAAATATTAAATAGAATTTGCCTGTGTTTTTTTTTTAATATTAATATTGTTTAAGATGGGATTACTAATCTGCTCCAGCTTTTGTCAACATAGTTGCAGTTTAAGTCCAAGTCCCATTTCGATTTTTTTTGAGTACTTGTCATATGCTGGTGATTAGTCAAAAACAATTTTGTAAACACAAGAAATAAGTCCTGTTGTTGTCGTTTCTGAAAGTACTTTAAGTATGAAATTATAACATACTTTGCAATAAATGATAAATTAAGAGTAATTTTCGTGTGAATGTGCTTTACTGGAGGCATCCATGTTCGTCAAAGAACACTACTGCCACCTACTGGTTTGTGACGTCACAGTGCGGTATCGGCTATTGATCAAGTCCCAGTGCTGTATCTGGTGTTTGTCACAACGCGCTATTATCCAAGTCATCTTGAAAACATTCTTCTTCCAAATGTTCTGCTTCTGGACTCAGTGGTCATCCTAATTGTCAATCATTCTGGTGATGTGTTTACGTTAGGCTGTTCTACATGCTTGTCCCAGTTGTCACTTACCTGTGATGAGTCTGACATAGCGGAAAAATCTTCTTTTGGAATTGGAAAGTAAGTTTGTATGAGCAAGGCATACAGCAACTTTTAAACAGAGCATGCACGAGGAGAAATGGAGTTGTGCATGCTCTTGCATGTGTTTAATATTTGTTTCCTCTCTGGAGCAGGTACAGGGTTGTGCATGTGCATGTTTATTTAAGCGGAGAGGGCGGGTCTTTTCAAAAATTTGCGGAGATCATCCATTATACCTTTAAAAAGGTACGGCTGAGGTTAAAATTCAATTCAGTGTATTTCTATAGCACCAATTCACATCACATGTCATCACAAGGCTCTTTACAGTTCACCAGATCATCCAGTCAGATTGATTCAAAGTTTTCTATCCAAGGAAAACCAGCTGATTGCATCGACTGATTGACTCAAAGGCAAACCCTCACATGCTTGTAGCGACAGTGGAGAGGAAAAACTCTCTTTTTAACAGGAAGAAACCTCCAGCAGTCAAATTCAAACAGTATGTCATTCCACTCTTTATTTTGAGAGCCATTTGTCTGAATATACCAAATGCGGCTATTTGAGCAAATCAATTTGCTTAGAGTTGGTCACAATCTGTGGTAATTTAGAAGAATATCTGTTGGTGGAATCAGAACCGCAATATGATGTAATTAGAAATATTTAATATACAATCAGTTATCTAGAGATTTAAGAACTGGCATTAATAGTTATCTCACACAGAAAAATAAACCGCAGTGCAACAGTTTAAATAGGAGCAACGGATGTGCACATAAAATGGTACATAAGAAATCCATTACTTTCATACCATACAAACATGTTTTTTTTTTTGTTAACATTCATAGCAAAATGATCTAACCACAAACAAGAATAAGGTCTGAAAGGTTATGAGTGACAATGCATTCTAAACAATGAAATTATTCTACATTTAATGAAGGGGAGCTTTGTTTTACAATGTAATTCATAACGCCATTATTCAAAATGTCTGTGATTTGGAGAGGAAAACAAAGCGTTCAACGCCATCGACATCACCAGGTTAGAAACAGGACGCTAAAAACAGCTATTTTTAAATCAAGCTATCTCTTCTGAACACTGGTTTGATTGTGCAATAAGTTTAAGGCGTGCTTCTCTAGTCTGCTTATCAAAAAGTGTGACGCGTCCGCTTCCACAGCCACCAGCTCATCCTCAAGTCTGGAGGCGGGACTTTTTTTTATTACGCACATGCCAGGTCTCCTATGATTGGCCGATGAACCCAACTCTCTCTGATGTGATTGGTCAACTGTAAAGTAGGCGTTGAATTAGTCGGAGTGCAGCAGCTCGCTTTTAGCAGTGGCGGTTGGAGCCGAAAACTGGGAGGGTGAACTGTCTGAGAAATGAATCATACTCACCGTGAACTGTGGGTTTGCCTTTTAGAAATAGGTGACAGGACTGTTTGCTAATGAAAGGAGAATCCCGGCTAACAGTCAGCTAGTTTTCGGTGTCTTGTCCAGCTGCGACAAAGCAAAGCAAATAGCGAGGATGTCGGTCCCCGCTGGGAGATAATGAAGAGGCTGCGCGTTTTGTTGGTGTGCCTCATTGTAGCTCTCCTGTGCTGGTAAGCCTGGCCTCCTGCCACCATTCACACTTTCACACATGTCTGACATTCACGTGCTTCAAAAATAACTTCACCACTTTTTACATTTTGTAACAAAATATTTGACTCTTTCTTGTCTTTTGTGGGACAGTATTTGCTATTCTTGTGTGACGGGTTGCCCCCCTGCTACATTAGCTAACAAATATCTGCTTGGTTTAGCTGTTTTTTCGGTTCAATATATCTGTGAATCCGAAGAAAAGATTGACTTTCCTCTGCTTATCATCCAGCTAGCCGCCTTTAAAGCCTGTTTGTTGGGTTAGTGATGAGGCCAGCTGTTGATAGCAGCTCAGCTAGCTAAATCTAAGTTGCTCAGTGTTGGCATATGTTAGCCAGCTGCTGGACTACAGCGACTAATGCAATATAACAGAAACTATACAGACATTTTTTATTTTCTTCTCGTGTTTTTTGGAGCTAAACAAATCTTGAAAAGCTATTTTTTGGGCTAACTAACCATCAGAATCACAGTGTGACGCATACTTAGCAAGACCATGGCTATGAATAAATGCAGGGACTGTCTTTTAGTTTGGTTAATAAATAAACAGGTTTAGTCAAAACCGTGTTTCTAGTTAGATATGCTCCAATAATCCAGAAAGAGATTAGATTAGGCCCTTCCTTTGATGTGGCTGAACAAGTACTGCTGTCATCATGGATTAAAATCCATCTAAACTAAGAAGATCTTACATTTTGTTATGTAAACACATCAACTCACTGCACTTTTATTATAATAAGATAACAGTTTGGAACATAGGCTGTCATAAATTGTGATAAATTTTGAAAATCTTTTTTTATGCTAGAAGTCGATGGAAACGTCCACTGATCATAGAAGTCAGAATTTTCTAGGAAATTTGTGGTGCATTTTAAATGATATTTACTGTGAATATTTGTAGTTTGTTTTTTTGCTGCAACCCATGTGTTTACTTAATCTCAGACGCAGGCAGCGGATAACAATGTGTGTAGAATTGGATTAACAATCCAGCTATCGTGCCAACTTCATCCAGATTGTTGACTCAGGTTGAGCCAGTGGAAGCTTGCAAACAAACTGAACTTCAGATTTTCTTCACTTCCTGACATTTTGTTGCTTCAGTCCCTCACTGTATTTTTCTTTATAGAACTGAGGCGTTGTTTTATAACCAAGAGGAAAATAAACAGGGTCTATTTAAATCTTTTTCCATCTGTTAATTTAATTTCGAAAAAGAAAACCTCCTAGGGGCTTTGTGTGTGTTCAGTTGCAGTAGAAGGAGTTTGTTTTTGTAAACTGGGCATAAGGAACACATCCTCATACCTGAGGTATTGGAAAAATCTAATAAAAGACATGTTTTCTCATTTCCCCATACCGTGGAAATAGGGCTTACAGGCTCATGTTTCATTGATCATGCCAGGGATTCCTTTTTTAATGCAATCATTAATAAATAAAATGTTTTGTAGCGCAGTGAAGGGCAGAACAAAGGCAGCTTAAATGTCTTTCAGAGGAAAGAAGATTTGGTTCTGTTTGCTGGTGAGGAGAAACCAAATTTTGTTATAATTAGATTTTTTTTATAGTAAATCCTTAATTATCCATATTTTAAAAAAAATGCACATCATAGAAATTTAATTTAACCTAACTTTTTATAAATAAAAGGGGGGAATAAACTTGAAACCACTGTAGGGGTTTGTCCCATGCTACTTTCTCTTCCTTTGAATACAATACCCAGCCACACAGAATGATGCAGACTTTGTTATAATCAGTTTTAACTTAATAAATTTGATTGAAAATTGAATTCAAAGGAATTGAGTTTGTGTCCGTTGAGCTCAGATGTTTGGTAAGACCAAATAAAATCTGTAATGAATAGTTTTAATTTTTTTTACTTTTTATTTTCTCCCCCGCATTTGTTTTCTTTTCTTTTTAACGAATTCAGTAATTTTTAGGATGATAAATACTCTGATAAAATGTTTATATAAATGAAAAACAGTGACATGGATTTGATGTGGCATACCGAGTGTCGGACAGACCAGCTGATGGCCGTGCTCTGAAATGCTCAGCTATCATTATTAATGCAATCCCTTTTTAACATGCTGCTGTTAGCTTCTCCTCCCCTGCTTCCAGCTCTCACAGATTCCCAGAAGGAATAAAAAAAAAAAAAGGCAATGCAGGCCAGGCGGCGACGCTAAGGTTTCCAAGGAAGCGGTGATTTTTAGGTTCATAAAGCAGCTGCTTGTTTAAACGCCGGTATTAAAGGGGTTATTTGGAAGTTTGTTCTGGCCAGGCTCTCGGCATCAACCCAGTGTTGCTTACAACCTGCCAGGGCTAATGCAGATATTTTTATGTTTCTTGTGAGCCCTTGTGCTTTGTAGGCTTCACCACAGCTTTCAGTGAGTGTCATGCTTCCCCCTCCTCTCATGTTGTCAGCAGAAGAGATCTGCCTGCTTTCACGGCATGCCATCTCAGGCTGTTGACATCAGCATTGTTGGGGATTGTGTGTGTTTGTCCTCTGAACCCATATGAGTCAAGGTGCACATTTCCAGGCAGGTGAATTGTCAGTAATAACAGCTTTCCTTGCATACTCATGCATTTCTCTCCATTTAAAGGCTATTTTTTACTGAATTAAGTTTTATAGCAGGTTATCACTGTGTTTGTCCGCTGTGGAAGATAATATATTATAAACTACCTCAGAGTACAAAAAGAATCAGATTTAAAAATTTTTTCTGCTGGATTGGCAGGATACTGTTTGAAATAAAAGGTTTCTATAAGCTTATTAGATTCACAGTCACTGGAAGGTTATTATTATGTAACATGATTAGCGCTTAAAAGATAATTCAGCAGCCGGTTTACCTGGTTTAAAAGTGTTAGCTGTGCTCCGCAGACTGTCGATACCAAAGCAAATGAGTAGAGAAAATCAGGATTTTAAAAAGCCTGAATTTTGGGTGCATTTAAATATTTATTTATTTTTTTTCATTAGGTTATACAGGTCTGTTTTTTCTTGTGCTTTGGTCATTGATCCAGTGGGAGAGGCCTGTGAAGCTTTGCTTGTTCAGCCTGTTTTTGCTCTTTAATCAGCTATGAGGAGGAGAACCTTCTAGAACAGGTTCCTATAAGCAGCCATGCTTTGTAGCATAAATGCTATAGATTATGTTTTTTGCTTTTTTATTTTCCCAAGCAGAAAAGCAAATTTTTCATACTGGTGCTAAAACAGAGTAAATGAAGAACGAGTATTTGTAACTTTTCTTTGTAATTTTTATAACTTTTTTTTATTTTGATACAAATACATAAGCAATACTTATCGCTCTGAGAGTTGTGTTCAACACCATATTTGGAGCTTAATTTAGTGTCTCAGTCCTGTTATTTGCCATAATAATGCTTCTAATGAAAAAAAAACATTTCTCATTGTGTGTCTGTGTACAAGATGCTTGAAAAGTTTTAAACAGTTTTTAAAGTCGTAGGGAAGATATATTTAAATGTCAAATTATTCTGGCTTACACATGTATATAAATGTACTCTTTATCAGACCATATTGTCCCAAAAGTTAGAAAGTTTCATTTAAAAAAAAATCCTGTCTTAAAATCTCTGCTTTTTTTCATTATCTTCTGCAGGCCAGTTAGTTCTACGTCAGCCTGAACACCTACATTCGGCCAATCATATATCAATGCTCATCTGTCAATCAAATGTTTTCGGTCATAGCATCTTGATTCATATGTCGCAGCTAATATACGCAA